GCATCTCTTGTCTGCTATCAGCAGTGTTAGACTTTACATTCCTAAAGACCTTCGGCCGGTGGACAATAGACAGAGCGTGTTAAAATCTATACAGGTATGTATGTTTTATAAGTTAAATATAAATTTTGTGTAGAGTTTTTGAAAAGGCAATTGAAATACCTTGCAATATATTACTTTCAGGAAAAATACAAACATTATTAATATGTGGCATTTATTTGCATAGAAAAAGTTATAACCAGTCTACATGTGGATTTTTCCTCTGTGGACCCATCAGTGAAGTGCATTACTAAAAGAGGGCTCGCCAGAAACAAACAAACAAAAAAAAAAAACTTCACCATTAATCTCTTTTATGTATTTAGTACAGGGTCTGCAGGGTCTCACTACACAGATCGGATTTGTAGTGATCCTCCCTCCCAAGCGCTGGGATTACAGACGTGTGCCACCACTCCCATTCTCAAGTGCTATCTCAGCGTGCCCTGGGGGTGAGGTTGGCATGGCATGCCACACTGGGAATCACACCCTGGTCCTTGCACCTGCCTAAGTAGGTGCTTTAGTCTGAGCTATCTGGTGGGCGCTTCACCGTTAATCTAGTTACATTCTCTTAATGAATAGAGGGATTTGTTCTAATAGAATTTGTAAATAGGCTATCATGTCCGCATCTTTTACAGCAAATAACCACTAGGAAGAATGTATGCAGTGTGTTAATTATTGAAACTGTCCTGCCAATTTGGTTTGAAACTGTCTCATCGCTATTTGTTTATCAATAAAATTATGGGGGGATAAAAGCAAACAAACTAAAAAAATAAATAAAATAAATTTATAATATAGAACTGCAAAAAAAAGGTTGAATTGTTTTTGGAAAGACATGAAATCTTACAAGAAGATTTTTGTAATTTTAGCTTCATAAATATATAATTTACATAACAATTGTTGGTACAAAAATGGTATTTCTAAAACACATCTAGCCTCAAATAGATGTCACATATCCTTGTTACAAAAAAAAAAAAAAAAAGGATCCTTGGGCTAAAGTGATCATCATACCTCAGCCTTCCAAGAAGCTGGGACTGTAAGGACATTATCCTCTTTTTACCAGCTTTGGAATCAAACCCAGGACCTGGCACATGCTAGGCTGTTTCTAGCTGGCCAGATTGTTTCTGACCTTTGAAGCCTATTTAAGACCCTGACATGCTCCCAATAGGTTAGCAGCTGAACGGAAGCTGTGTGAGGGTGGGGGTGTGTGTGGTACCAGGGATTGATTTCAGGACCTTGCACTTGCCAGGCAAGCACTTACTCCACTGAGCTATCTCCTGGGCCCAGGTTTTTATATTTAATAATTAAATCGTGTAACAAAGAAGCTAGTAAAAGGGATCAGGACCATGAAAAGGTTTGTATTTTACAACTAAGTAGGACCTTTACTAGGAATAAATTCTGAAATATTCCTAAAATCAAAAATAGCTTCCACATACGAAACAGTAAATATGAAGTTATATATGATGGCAAGAAGTTTTGACCACCTGAATATACTGAAGGATTTATCAGTAAGTTGTGCCACATCCACAATTGTTGACCTATTCAACTCTGGTTTTATAGTGAGCTATATCTCTATATGAGAAAATGGTAGCATAGCTACACATTTTTGAAAAGGGGGTTTTCAAAAACAGTGCAGTGGGAAAATATCTTCCAGTTTAACTGGAAAAAAGTGTGATATCCTTTAAATCTCCATGTACATAGAAAAATACATAAAAAGAAATCTTGATTAAGGGTCATCTTAACTTTGTCTAGAAGAAAACACTTGAATTTTACATGTTTTATTTCAGGAAGTTCAGAAACGTTTTCCTGATGGTGTTCCCCTCTTGGACCCAATTGATGATATGGGCATTCAAGATCAGGGGCTGAAAAAAGTCATTCAGAAAGTAGAGGCTTTTGAGCATCGAATGTATTCTCATCCACTTCACAATGATCCGAACTTGGAAACTGTGTATACGCTTTGTGAAAAAAAAGCACAGGTATGGCAGAAAGTTGGGTCTCATAGTGCAGCTTTCATCTGTCTCCCTAAACCCAAGTCTCGTTTGCCTAGCTTGCAACTAACCAGCTTGCTTCTCTCCCAGCCTTTCCTCCTTCTGTTTCACACTTCAGCTGTGCTGGGTTCCCCTGCTTTGGCTTCTTACATGTTCATGTCTTCTCTCCGCTGCATTTTCCTGAGGACATTTTGTCTTGTACGTAGTATCTTTGCTGGTATTCAGCAACCTTTCAGTATCCTGTTGCTCTCGTGGGAGTGCATCTAAGACGCTCATAGGCTACCCCCACCCATCCCCACTGTGTTAAAGCTTTAACGGGAAAAAGCGTTGTAAGGTGGCCCTATACAATTTTTTTTGCTCTTTCATGAGTGAGTCTCCTTTTGTAGTGTTTGTTATTGAGCGTTCTTTACTTTGTTTTTTAGATTGCAATAGATATTAAGTCTGCAAAGCGAGAGCTGAAGAAAGCAAGAACTGTTCTACAAATGGATGAACTTAAATGTCGCAAGCGTGTCTTACGAAGGTTGGGATTTGCTACTTCTTCTGATGTCATAGAGATGAAGGGACGCGTAGCTTGTGAGATAAGCAGGTAAGCTTGGCTGTTCTAAATAAAGGCTGTTAAGCTTAAATGCAGTTTGGGATCATGAAATTGAGACATTAGAAAAATCTTAGATCTCAGTAATTAACGTAAACATCTCCGGATTTACATTTTTCCTTTGAAACCCAATTTTGTATACTTTTTTTTTTTTTACATTTATCAACATTTTATGCCTTGATACTCGGTCTAGTAACCATAACCAGATTTTACTGGTTTTGAGCTAACCACAAGGTATAATGGAGCTTAACTGAGTTTAACATTGGATATAGCAGACAGCTGGCTTTCCATATTCCCCAGGTTCTATATCCACATATTCAAATAACTGTAGATAGAACTATTTGGAAAAAAACAATTGCATATATACAGGTCTTTTTTTCTAAACAATACAGTGTAACAATTGTCTACATGGCATTTACACTGTGTTAGCTTTTATAAGCAGTGTAGATATGGCTTTGAAGTATCTGAGCAGATTTGTGTGACTCATTTGCAAGTAACACATTTCATATAAAAGACTTAAGCATCTTTAAGTTTCGGTATCCAGGAATATTGAAGACCAGTCCCTGTCAGTACAGAGGGACGGCTGTATTTTTGGTTTGCGTAATTTTTATAAACGAGCTTAAAACTACATGATTTAAAGGGACAGTTGTTTTACTCGTTCATGGTTTTATCTTGTCAGAACTTCGGGAAGGGCTGTGTTTGGTGGTCCTGGCTCGGTGTCTCTTGTGCTTGCCATCCAGACAGAGTGTTGAGCTGAGCAGAGGACCCTGGAGCCACTGGGGATACTAGTGCCGAGGAGCCCCCCTCTCCCCGCTCTGCTCTGCTCTTCTTCCCTTCTTGATCCTCTCCCTTGTCGCGTCTCTTGGTGGTCTAGTTTGGATGTCCTCACAGTAGGGCAGCCTCAGAGTATTAGCACTTCCTAGAAGGAGGCGTAAGACTCACACATGAGTGTTCCAGCAGCCTTAAGCTGGAGGTTGTGGCGTCTTTCCTGACCTAGCCTTACCTTTTGAAACCTAGCTTAGATGTAAAGCATCATTTGTACCACAGTCTCTTGATTTTAGATGAGTCACAAACCCTTCTAGGTTCAAGTGAAAGCCAGACTCCACTTCTTTCTCTTTCTCT